AGATAACAAGATTATCAACAAATATCACTAATGCCAACTATTCTACATTAAGCATGTCTAAGCTCCATTAATTATGACTTCTCAACATAACTCCTGGAATATTTTTTTGAAGTCAATCACTAAGATAACGAATACAACTTACAAATTAAACCATTCTACAGAGAATTTTTTTTACAATTCATATATAATATCTGTGTTGAACGACCTAATGATTATTATGACAGATTAAAGGAAATCATACTAGATAGAAATGTAATTTCAGTTTCAGTAAGAGTATAGAAACACTGTGATGTAAGTACATAAAGCTAAGAAGTTCTGAATTTTTAACAAAAAGCTTTTATTGAACAATTCACTCTTATGGTATAACTATAATAAATACCATTCAAGATGACTGAATTTTCATTGAAGTTGAATATTGAACAAACTTCTGACTTTTGGATAACTAATGATTGATTGTTCAGTTGTTTGATCGATTTGATAGTCGATACTGTAAGTAGGATGTAAGTGACCAATCATATTTCCAATAAGATACAGATTTTCTCTTTCTCTCTCTCTCACACACACACAGTTTTTCTGTATCTGAGTATATATTTTTGTTGCTTAACACTTAAACTAATTAAACTAACATCAACTTATTCAATATTCATTTTAATTCATATGGATGGGTAAAGATTAGTTCATTGGAAAGGAGAATAAGCAGTATATTGTTTTTTAGCAAGCAATTTTTTTCTTATGCTTGTGATATTCTAATATATTTAAACACAGCGAGAACAGCAAGGTTTGCATCTGCTGCATGCAACCTAAAATTACAATTAGTGGTCTAGAGGTTAAGAATTCGCTCGTGAAATCGTCCCGCGTGGGAGATTGATAATACGCATTGTTGAGAAGTTCCGTATTAGGACGAAACAGCTGTCCAGTGCTATCAGGTTTTCAATTGTGATCTAGTTTGAATCGTCTCGTGAATTCAACTAATAAATGTGTGAACATCAATCAGACTATGTAAGAGATGAATATCAGAGATTAAAATATGAAATTAATAAAGGGTATTAGATGAATATCCAGTCACAATCACAGGGAAAGGCTAATCATACTTTACTTCTGTATACATAGGTTAGGTCGGAAATATTTGATAGCGATTGTCTCTGACAAACGGAACAAGACCTGTTCCTGTTAATTATTTTAAATGCATTACTCACACTTACCTTATATCCACTATCCAAAAGGTGTCTAGCAATTGCACTTGTAATGACTTCATACCCTTTCAACCGTGGGTCCTCAGGAATCTGTTCAGAAAACGATGTGCTTGCTGCTGCAGATATATATGACTTCACAAATACAATTGGAGGTAACATTGGAAGAATATTGATCTACTTTTGAATGGTAAAATGAATGTTTGGTGTTGTATGGTGAAACCAGTTGAGCATCGGGGATGCTTCATTTCAGTGTTGGCTTGATTCCACCATTGATTCTTCCTGTAATCTTACCTCCATTGAACAGAAGGTGAACGAAGACAAATGTCTTTACAACAATTGGTTGTTTATCATCCAGGGGATATTCTTTAGTAATCTTAACGTTTGCAGATAATACACTATCACTGTGTAAAATCTCTTCTTAACTGTACACAGTTTTATGGCATAAATTGTTTAGTTATCTATGTTGATTAGTAATTGTTGTTATTGAGTACTTATTGCGAATATGTCATATTAAAAATGTTGTTATGTATAAGAAGAGTACTAAACTTCTACTGTTCAGTATCAATATGTATGTATGAGTAACAATGAGAAGTAATTGTCATTTGAATTGCACTTTGTAATTGACAGAACAGCATGAATGAAAACCTGGAAGCACTGGACGGTTATTTCGTCCTATTGTGGAACTTCTCAGTAGTATGCATCCATAAACCCATCTCTTGAAATTCGAACCCAGGACCTATCGGTCTCACGCGCGAACGCTTAACCTATAGACTACTGATCCGGCATTTATCGGTGGGACTCCTCAGCAGCGCGCATCCACGATCCCACCAGCGGGATTCGAACACAGGGTCTTCAGCTTCGCGCGCGAATGCTTAACCTGATGAACCACTGAGCCAGGATCCATTGGTGTTAATTTCTAACCTCAATAAATTGCGCGACCATCTTACATTGTACTGAGGTAGACACCTGTTTCTACCCGACACGGAGGAGTCCCACAATAGGACGAAACGGTCGTTCAGTGTTTCCAGGTTTTCAATGGTGGGCTGACATCAATCGGTTCATGATCTCAATCTCCACAACCCCTAAACTGATAATCAAATGTTTTTTTAAAAATTCGAATCTTCTATTTTATTGTTGAACAGTTGATGCATTCATATTTATGGGGATTTTTTTATTCAGTTTGTAAGAAACTTTGGACCAAAATAATCGATTTTATTGATTTCAAATTATAAGTTTACCTTTGTTCCTTGTATTCATATTGACAATATATGTATATTGTCGAACATGTGATATAATTTTTGTTTATACGTTGTTAACATGTCCAAGTGTTAATATTATGTAAAGAAAAAATGTTTCTTTTAGAAATTAATTTTGTTAATACGTGGTGTGGATTGTGTGTGTGTGTGTATGCTTGTATGTGGATAATGGTGATATAACCGAATGGTTAAATTTCGATTATTACTAATTATTCTTTCATATCAGCTATGAGAAAGACAATAATGATGGCTCAGTAACTCAGATTGATTAGATTTAGCCTTGTAAACCAATGAATTCTGTCTCAGTGATCCAGAAGTTAAACGTTTCTGTATGAAGCCAAAAGTTCAGGTTCGATTTCTATTTGCAAATTCGTGAATATGCATTGCTAAGGAGTCTTGTACTAAGAAGAAACAACTATCCAGAGCTTCCAGATTTTCAATGGAAGTTTAACTTTGATAAGTTTGTGGTTTTACGTATTTATTAAACCACTATAAATACTATTGTATAGTTTTGATAAGTGATATTGTTGGAAATAAATTTCTCAATGCTGAATTGTTTTCATTCTTCAAGATAATAGTCATTTGAACATTTGAAGTCAGACATTAACACCGTTGGATGCCGGCTCAGTGGTCTAATAGTTAAGTGCTCGGGCGCGAAACCAGTATGTCCTGGGTTTGAATCTCGCAGGGGGCGAAGTCGTGGATGCGCACTGCTGAAGAGTCCCACAATAGGACGAAACGGCCGTCCAGTGCTTCCAGGTTTTCCATGGTGATCTAGCTTCAACTGACTCATGACCTTAACCATTGAAAAAAAATTGTTTGAAATGTATATGAAAATACGAACTAGAGATTTGACAGTGTTATCTAAACATTAAAGCTATCACTCTAAACGATTTGCAAACCTCTCTCTTACATAACAAATATATTTAATTCTTCATCTAAAAAATTACATCGACAACTGGAAATGATTAAATTTTTAAGCTTATTTACATAATCAAATTGAGAAAGCAACAAAATACTTTGTGAATATATCATATTCTGAAAATAGTGTTGTTCTTATTTTGTTTAAATCAATTTACTTCAGTTTAGTAAATAGATAGTATTGTTGTTAACTAACTTTGTACTCATTTTTCTTCTTCCTCTTCTTCTAAACGCTTAAATTGGAGTTATTTAAGCCAATTTTTTGTTTACATAGAATTCCAGCTGTTCAATGTAGACAATACAACTTGTCTGTTATATGGCGAACTTGAATTTATTGGAAAGTTGAATATTAAGTCGAATGTTATTACTTTTTAACAATTTTTTTCTTGATGAGTAATTAGGAGTGTAAAGTTAATATCATAAATGAATAAATAATAATAAGAGTAATAATGAAATGGAGCGATCAGTTCGCATAAATTAAAGTTGTCTTATTTAACTTATAATTTGTGTGTATTGATATGTGTACAAATGACTGAAATGAATCATCGCTTGCTTTATGTTCCCCTGATATATATATATATATATATATATATATATATATATATATATATAGATAGATAGATGTTAGACACCAACAATATTGGATGCCGACTAAGTGGTTTAGAGGTTAAGCGTTCGCGCGCGACACCGAAGACCCTGATTTCGAATTCCGTATACGAGGTCGTGGAGGCACACTGCGGAGGAGTCCCAGACAAAACGGTCGTAAAACAGCGCTTCCAGGTTTCGATGGTGGTCTAGTCTAAATCAACTCATGAATTCACTTGTTAAAATTACTACAATCTCCACAAACCCCATTCTGATCATTATCTCAGTATGGTTGTTTGACAATACATTTCTCAGTAAATGTGACAAAAATCAACATTAAATAGGGTTTTTAAAATCACCATTTGAAATTTATTGAAATTGCATACGTGGAGTTGATTTGGAATCTCAGAAGCTAGCATCCCTAGCGGCTAGCTATCCATCTTATACCTCAAAATATTCAATAAATAACTATTTATGTTAGCGTAATAAAATATGTGTTTCTTTGAATCTCCCACTAAATGAGGAGCTATGTTAGATGAAAGTTGTGTAATCCTATCGTCATTTAATTTCGTTACTGGATTTGAATATTATAATTCATAACAAGTTTAGGCATCGACTATTCATTTTGTTACCAATAATAGAGAACTGTTAACGAATGGAAAAAATGAGATAAAATATATCAAACATGTTGGGATTAAAGAAGAATTTAGGTTGAATTGCTACGTTTCAGTCTATGTGTATGAATAGATGATATATCTGAGTATGTAAGTACGATATTAGGTACAGATTACACTGAACAAGTAGATCGTCAATGAAAACAATTGGTAACTCAGTACCTTTCATCTTACTGAAGCTCATAAATATTAGAAGGCAACGACTGATCTTTGACTGTAAAGAACTAGTTAATCGTAAAGGTATTGCATTTTACATTTATTTATAATCAATCTGGATGCACAATATAAATATTGAACAATAATTTATACTGATTGGTTACCAGTTACCAAATAAATTATTCAGTCATATTTTTCGGACCACGTAGCAGTATATGAGAGATACTACTACTACTACTACTACTACTACTACTACTACTACTACTACTACTACTACTACTACTACTACTACTACTACTACTACTACTACTACTACTACTACTACTACTACTACTACTACTACTACTACTACTACTACTACTACTACTACTACTACTACTACTACTACTACTACTACTACTACTACTACTACTACTACTGCTACTACTACTACTACTACTACTACTACTACTACTACTACTACTACTACTACTACTACTACTACGAATAATAATAATAATAATAATTCATATTCCATCCATTTCCTATTACAATCTTTCAGTCAAAGTTATTACAAGTACATTTTTCAGGTGTTTTTTTTAAATCATTCGAACTTCTTTCAATCAAGTCAACTTGATTTTTCTAAATAGTCTACTGTTTTTTCTGAACAAACTATTTTAAAACTTGATGTGACGGTTTTTGGGTTACTTATTGAATCATGCAACACTATGTTCTGGTGCCATTCAAACACAATTACTATTTACAAGCAAAGATGGAGAGTGGCTAGCAGTGGAATCCAGGACGTGTGTTTCCATCTATTCGGAGCTCATCAGCTGGATGTACCTGCGAATGGTACTGAGTTCGAGTCCCAGGGTGAGCATCAACTCTGCCTCCTTTCGTCAGTTTTACATGGTTTTTAACCATTTACCAGCAAGAATCAGTCTGTGATGAAAAGATATTTCAACATAGAATATTGTCACTTTGAACAAATGTCCATAAATGACGGAAAATTAATAGGTATCCTAGGAAAATCTGAAATTAGTACAATGCAAGCAAGAAAACAACAAACATGATGTCGGATTGTTAACCGAATATTACCATGTAGCAATTAATCAACACATTCATAACTGAAAAAAGTAGAAACGTAGAAATTGGGTTGTACACTAATTGAATGCAAAGCGAATGCTGTGTGTTTACAATCTATCACGCTAAATTCATACATAGGGATGAAGTACTGTATAAAGATTGAAATAAAATGTGATCTTCACATTTTTAGCTTGTCCCAACAAAAGTGAAAATTTAAACTAAGAAAGTTGCGTAACGTAAAGTATTTCATCATGTAATAATTGAAATTTACAAAAACAAACATGTGATTAGTAACACACATACACATACTGCAAATATACTTTATTTTTTTATGTTAAAACAATCAATAACAGCCTGATGTATCATAAGACTCTCTTTTTCGTTCTTTATCAATTAAGACCTCTCATAAAGTACATTTTACCAATATCTAGAATTTATTTATTATATGAATATATTAACAAGGTAAATTGTGCTTTTAAAAATGTATTTATCAGTTTAGTGGTTGTGGAGATTGTTAAGCTTCTGATTGAAATCATGAACCGATTGATGTTAGACCACCATTGAAAACCTGGAAGCACTGGATGGCCGTTTCGTCCTATTGTGGGACTCCTCCGCAGTGCGCACCCACGATCCCGCTCGCGGGACTCGAACCCGGGGCCTTCAGTCTTGCACGTGAACGCTTAACCTACTGGACCATTAGGCCGACATCCAACGGTGTTAATGTCTAACCTCAGACAATCCACGAAATTGCGCGACCATCTTCCATTGTACTGAGGTAGACACCTGTTTCTACCCGACACGGATTAGCTCCACTGGTCACGACTTTTCACCAGAACTCCGAGAATTTTCTCACGAAGCTAGTCACTAGGGTGCACATGAATTTTACTCAGTCTTTATGGTATATTTTGTGTGGATTGATTTAATATAACCATTTTGTCATATGTTTGATAGAACAGATGGATTTTAGCTAGCAATGGAATTTAGGACACTCATTTCATCATCATCATATTTAGGAATTGTCAGATGAACACATCTATATTCCGGTGTTAATGTTTGGATTAGTACTCGAACCATGTACTTTCTGTTTTAAGCGTCAGAGTATAATCTGACAAGGTAACCCAGTTCAGATAATCACTAAGTTGTTCACTGTGTATGGTTGTACATTCAACTAACAAGTTTCAAATAGGATAAAACATGCATCCTAGGTTCCAACATTAATCTCAGTTCATTTTTTCTAAACTCTTTCCCTAGACGATCACTAAATAGATCACTCAGGAACGTTGGGTTAGTGGATAATCACTACTACCTATACAGTTACATTGTTTAAATCCATTATCGTTGTAGTTTTCACAAACTTATACTGGTACTCTCGTTTCACCTCGAAAATAACTGGATTTTTTTACCCATTATATTCAGAAACGGCTTTCAACATTTCATAAATTGCTTTAAAGTTCTTTCTAAGTTTTACTCCGTAAAAAACTTGACGCTGATCGGTTGTTAATGTATTACCTGAACAGACCATATTCCATATGATGTATTGTTAGTGTATCACCTTGTTATAACTTTTTTATTGTAGTCAATCATATGCATATTTGTAATCATGATAGTGTTGGATAGGGTTGATATGCTTTTTCTAGAACATTCCACAAACCAAGTGATTTATGATTCCATCCTTCATGTATGTATGTATACTTGAAATGGTCATCTCCAGGCAGTATATAAGCTGCTTCATATAGAACAGGCTAGAATCTGTCACGTTAATTTAACTCAAGTGTAGTCTGTTCCCCACGATATTTACTTGTGTGCAGTTCAATTTGTTTTTAAATTTTCTACAAACAACTTAATCAAGATTTGAATGAGTGGCTCTATTTATGTGTACGCGTGTTTTAGGGAGACGAATATACATTGTCAAGAAAGACATATGAGATCACATATTCTTTTTAACAATGTTCAAGACAAATATAACATCTAGCATTTTCGAGGATTTTTCCGTTTATTTAATGGGTGAGTATATAAGAGTGTAATTGTCAGTAAGGAATTCACAATAATCATCTGGAGCTATTCACATATACTTTTTGTGAACACAACACTGTAGAGCACCTCAACTTGTCGGATGTAAATAATAAACAAAGGAAAAGTTTGAACTTGAAATAAAATTCTCAATGAAAATTACGCTCTTACATGCAACACATTTAGTAAATAAATGGAAAAAAATATCCGGAAATCTTTGATACCGCATACATAGTCATCACTGAAAACGGTTACATAGCCTTACCTCTACCCCCCCACTAATAAATACCATGCAGTTTTAAAAAGAATGGACCGGAAACGTTCAATTCTCAATGTCTACTTCTATGCATTTGATATAAAACAAATACTGTGTACATTAAACTGGCGCCTTTATTGATAGGACACAATAAAACTGTGTGTGTGTGTGTTCATATATACATATATATGTATATCTGTTTGTTTATTTGAATAGTGAAATATGGAAATCATCAATTTTTATTACTCCATGTTATAGTAAAAAAAAATCTATTAGACACCAAAAAAAAGCACATCATGACTCATCCATGAAAAGCGACTTGTGATAAAAGAAATTTGCCACATTTTGCTGATAAATAATATTTTAAAAAAAAAATATTTCTAATAGTTAATCCGAATGTCGATGAGATAGTTAAATTTCAACTATTCCGAAGACTGTCGAGAAGTAAGACTGTGGTGTAGGCTACTTATGTCGACAGATGTAACACCAATCAGAAGTGGAAGGCCTAGCAGCAGAGAGTTTAGAAGATCGATTTGAAGAGAACAGGAATGTAAACAGAGAGTAATTGTAATGAAAACAGGAATGAAGGAACGATGACGTTTGTAAGAGACATTTGATGGAAGATGTCCAAATGAAGTAATTAATGTATGGTTTCCATAATTTACCAAGACATTCTGTAATTTGTATCAAACAATAAATTGGTCTTACCCCATCTGAGTTCTCATACACCTCAATACTATGTGATAGTTCAGTCTTTTACAACCACAGACATGTATCAGCTAGAGAATTATAAGAGAAGAAAGAGTGGTCATCAGTAAATATCGGATGATTATATTTTTCTGTCACTTGGATTTGCTTAATCTGCTTTCGTAAAAAAATCTAAACAAGAGTGCGTAGATTTCATTCTGAGAACGACAATTTTCAACCATAATGAGTTGGTTTACTGAAGTAGTAGTAACTAAAAAAAACTCAAACCTCAATTATGTGTTTAGAAATAGACAGTAATCAACTTGTCATTGCTTTTATAAATTCACGGAGCTGACCAATATCACTTGAAATTATTATCATTATTATTATTGGTGTTTATTTAGCAGTACAGAATTAGCCAAATCAATTCTTATTTTATGTACACCAAAATCATCCTTTCGTAAATCTGTTTTTATCCTCATTCACTTCATTCGCTAAATTTATGTAAACTGTTCAAATTGTTTATAATTATTATGTAACCCATTTGATCAGTTTTCAAATCTAGACAATTACCACCTCATAACTAAGTGTCTTCTATATAAATTTAGTTTCAAGTGGTCAGAAAATTATGTAAACTCTTCATAACTTCTATAATTATCACAAGATCCATCTTATCTGTTTCCAAACTTCATTTCATTACTACCCCCCGCCCTCATATCTTTGAATTCCACCTACAAACTATCTCATACCTATTCATGCATATATATATATATATATATATTGTAACAGAACGAAAACGCTGAAAATCGCTCCATAACACTTTATTGGACAGTATCCTCATTTATTTGCTTCTTCTCCCTGTTTTGTAGTTTAAACCTTATTCAGGTCTCTTTTAATCGCACTTTATATCCTTCAGTCTTCCTCGTCTGAGTTTCTAGTACGTGACTTTGATTAAAGATTTACTTTTTGTTACTTAATTTTTCTCTCCCATGTTGCCGAACTCTTGACAATAAGGTCGTGTTTGACAAATCTCAGGGCCACGACGTGGTTCAATGTGTGATTGATAACCTTTGACTGACTGCTTGGAAAGATTGCTGATATCCCTGCGGATAGATATATAGTCCTTTCTTGTTGCGAATATTTTTACTGATTCTCAGGTATTGAACTCTTGTATATTAACTATTTCTTTTTTTGTTTAGCAAGCTAAGTTGTGTTAGAGAAACCCTTGACTGCATAACACAGGCTGTACTGTTTGAGGTATTTTGTATTTTTGATATAATTTGTTCTTAAATTAGAGCCGTTTAAATTAAACACGGAGTTTGTGTTCTGATATAATTTATTTCGAGTAACTCAAAAACGCTTTATAAACTATACAGAAGAACGTAGTCTGGTCTAATAAAAAAGTCTTGGTTTGTTGGTTCTGCTTTCAAATCGAATATTGGCATTTCGGTCGTTTATATAATTGGTAATCTGTTTTCTTCTAGTTCTTTCCGTCATATTATATCATATCCCAATGTTACACTTTACTTACAAATACGGTTGTAAGCAGCTGATGAGAAACCATAAAATTATCATTAATTTATATTAGTTCGCCTCAATTATTATTCTGTC